CTCTGCCTCCGAGGACCATCCAGCATGTCAGATCTCTGTAGTGGAGGATACTGCCTGGATCGGCTGACCTGTTCTAAAGGGACCCAGCAGTCACACAGTGAACCTTCACTCAGTGCCACACAGAGAACCTTCCCCACGAAGGACCAGAGCATGGAGGAGGGGAGACTCAGTGGTTTGTGGTGAATGCCAAGGGGAAAATGAGCCTCAGGTTCTCCAGGAAGTATCAAGGAATGTCAAATAGGAAAAGAACTCGGAAGGAGGAAGCGAACTCAACCTGCTTCCTATGATTTTTCAGCTCCACTTAAATTGTGTGTGTGTGTGTGTGTGTGTGTGTGTGTAGGAAAATTCACATACCAGGAGCCACATGGGGGAACAGTGGTAAAGGGTGGGGCTCTGGGACAATTCAAGGTTTGAAGCTTGTCTAGAGACCACCCTGAGAATACCAGGCATGTGTATGCCTGTGACCTGGGGCTCTCAGGCTGGGATTGGATTGCGGTGTCAAGATCCTGTTTGGGGTGCTATCTCTCTGTCTCTTCATCTCTTTGACTTGTAGAAGAGATAAAACAACTTTTCCCCCCGACAGGGCACATGTGCTCACCAGAGACAGACCTAGATAGAGGAAAAGTGAGAAGTCACTTTTCCCAGAGGGGATGGCCACGCCATAGTTCCTTCTCCTCCATTCTTTTCTTGGGATTTTGGGTATACATCCAAATATGCCCAGCAAAATTTTTAAGCTACTGGGTCTGGACTCAAACCATGGTCAGTCATGTGAGATCCAGCCATCTTAACCACCACGCCACCTGCTGGCCCTCAATAGGCCATTAAAAAATATATACAAATAAAATCAACACAAATCAGGATCAGCTGATGGCGTCATGGTTACGTTGCTCAACTCCCATGTAGTCGACCATGGTTCAAGTCCCAGATTGGTCAGCTTAAAACTCATGCTGGGTGTGTGTGGTATGTGTGTATATCCAAAATCCCAAGAGGAGAATGAAGGAGAAAGATAGTGGCATGGCCATTCCCTGTACAGGGTGATTTCTCACTTTCTGTTTCTCTGTCTCTTCAGCAAGCTCATGTGCCCTATAGCAAAAATCTCTCTCTCAAAAAACCCAAATT